GGCAGGGCCAGTCTGGGCACAGCAGCAGGGCTGGGGCTGCACTAACTGTGTCTCCCCCGAGAGCCAGGGCCCTGCCCACAGCCCCCCTCCCATCAGCCCTCTGTGAGTTTCCCACCCCCACCCCTGCCAGGGGGCCTCGGGCTGCGTGGCTCACCGCTGGGTGCAGTGGGCTGCGGTCAGCACCCACTGGTGGTGGATGAGGGAGCCCCCACAGAGGTGCTGCCACAGCTCCAGCTCCTTATTGTACCTTCGGACGCTGACCTGCCAAGACCATCTCCCCGCAGGGGCATTGTGCACACCCACGGGGCCACCCTGCTGCCTCCCTGAGCTGGGCCCTGGGAACACAGGGGACGCCATCAGAGACCCAGCAGGGCCCCTCGCACTCAGTCTCTCCGAGGACCAACCAAGGAGGCCAACCCTGAGTTGACGGTGAGGGACCTGGGCAGCCTGAGCAGAAGATGGGGACAGGGAGTCAGGACTCACCTGGGAACTAGGGCACGGAGCCCCCCAGGCCTGGGAGGCTTAGGAACAGCAGCCACAGCATCTGCGGGGACGGCAAGGGCCTGGGTGAGACCACTAGGAGCCGGGGTCCCCGTGTGGGGATGGAGAAGCCGGGGTCTGAGCAGGGGCATCCTCACCTGAAGGGACCCTCCTTGGGACCCTCTCTGCACCCCTTCAACCCCGGGCACAGGAAGGGCAGGCGGGGGCCGCCTGGCTGGGCCATGGGCAGAGAGAGCTGCTCCTCTCTCAGGCCCACCCAGGTCGGGGGTCAGTCAGCAGGCGGCGAGGAGCTGCTGCTGGGCCCTGGTGCTGCCTCCCCTGGACCTGCCACCGGCTGTCACTGGGCAGCAGCCATCTCTGGCTGCACGGATCTCAGCCACAAAGCACAGCCAGGCCGGCGGCCTGAGCAAGGAGAGCTGCCAAGAGGGTGCAGTTTTGCTGGAAGAAGCCCCAGAGCACTGGGCCCAGGCAGGCGGGCCCAGCGAGGCAGAGCCCCAGAGCTGCTGCTGGGCCCTCGATCCACAGGGCAGCCCCTGATTCCACTGGACCCTGTGAGGCAGCGTGGAGCACTCCACCTTCTGACTAGAGCATGCCATCTGCCTGGCAGGTGGCCTGTGGCCACCCTCACTGCCACCAGCTGAGGCCCTGCACACTGCCCCCTGCAGGGTGCTCCTCGGAAGCTGCACTGAGATGGGCTTTCATGTGGATATAAGTCAGGGAGAGGCACCTGGGAGGCAGGTGGACGGAGCAGAGATGGGCAGAGGGCGAGGCTGGAGCACAATGCAGGCTGATGACACCTTGACCAGCCCACAGGGAGACCCAGGTCCCTGTCCCCACTGGGACTCAGTGCCAGCCCTGCCTCTCCCTGCACCAGCCAGGAGGGACCTGCCGGGGCGCAGCAGCCAGAGGAACTGCCAGGCCTCCCATCAAGTCCTGCCTTGAAGGGGGACCTGACCCGCCTCTGTGTCTGGCAGCATCCACCGCCTTCTGCCTCATGTGCTGAGGAGGCGGCCAACAGGACCACCGAGGAGTCCCTGCCCAGGAAACTGGGAAGCAGAGGCTCAGGGTACAACTGAGGCCGACAGGGCCCCTCCACTGTCCACCTGGATCCCACCCTTTGCTACTAACTGGGACTCTGGGACTTACCTGGTAGCATGACCCAGACCCCCATCCCTGAGGGGCTGAGCTCTGGTCCCAGGGACTTCTCAGGCCGGGTGGCTGCACGTGTCCACCTGCCATCACATTGATGAGGAGGTAGCAAGGGACACCCAAGGGCCCTCACCTTCCCTGCCCCCCATTGTGACACAGCAGCCCTGCCTCTGCCTGGTGCTCAGTGTCATTGTCCCACCAAGATGGTGGCACGTCTTGCTCCGTGGCCTCCAGACACAAGGAGCTCAATGTACCCAGACATGGCTGTCACTCACATCTCAGGAATAGTCCTCAGTGCAGGCTGCATGGCCTGCGTTGTCCTGCACCCGTGGGGCTTGCCCATCACCAATACTTTTACCACCATCGTGTCTGCTATGTCCCTGACGCCAGTGCAGCCTGGACCTGTAGCAGAGCCCTGTCCAGCGCTGGGACCACTCTGAGCCGGCAGCCTGTTGTGGGGCCAGCGTCACGGGCTGGAGGGCACTGTGAGGTGGGGAGCACGCTGCTTCCCTGAGAGGGGCAGAGGCCCTCACTGGCCTGTTGTTTTGATGGGGGGCCCTGGGGTGCTGGGTCGTGGGGCTCCAAAAGATTTCCTGTGGCCAGGCCCTGCCTCCTCAGGGGTGCGCTCCCCCTCTCAGGAGCACACAGCCTGGTGGCCTGTAGTCTCACCAGTGAGGGAGTCAGTGTGGACCAGTGCGGTCCCGCAGAACCTGACCTGCTTTAGAAATAAGTGCAGATGCAACCAGTTCAGATGGGGTCAGAGTAGAGGGGGGGAGGCCCTTAATCCAATGATGTTCCTTGTAGAAGAGGTGAGGATGCGGAGAGCACAGAGGGGTGGGGAGGACAGAGTGGGGGTCCAGGGTTCCTCCACAACCAAGGGTCCCAGCACCACCAGCAGCTACAGGAGCAGGAGACTGGGAAGAGGAGTGGCCCCAGAACAACTTGATTGCGGGCTCCTGGACTCTAGCCTGTAAGAGGATGCATTTGTGTTGTTTTAAGCACACACCCCAGTCATGGGCTGTCACTGTCACCCCAGGACACCACAGAGGGGGAGAGCCTGGTAATGACTGAGGTGTGATGTCCACCTGGAAGGGCATGGCCCTGCATGGAGTCTCCATTCCAAGCTCTGAAGGTGTCTCTTGTCATCTCAGACAAGAGAATGAGGCCAACGCCTGTGGTCCCTCCCCAGGGTCCCCATGGGCACTGACCTAGCCCTGCAGGGGTCTCTATTGGGGGACACAGCCCTGCTGGCTCAGTGTCTGCCACCTCTGCGGGCCGAGGGCTCAGTCAGAACAGATTTCAGAGCCAGAGGCAAAAGGCCCCTCCATCTCCACCCAGGCATCTGGCTCTGCCCACCTTGCCTTAGTGCTGAGCCTAGGAAGCTGTGATAGGGTGGTGATTCCAGGCAAGATGGAGGGGGTGAGGGGAAGGGGCATCAGCCCTGAGCCCATCCTCTCATCCTCTGGAGAGAGAGCACTGCGGGTCCACCCCGTGGCCATGCCTGCAGATACAGCCCCAGGCCCAGGCGTGTCTCACTCCAGCCATCCCTCCAACTCCAAGTTCTAGGTCCTTCTCCCTCCCCTGGGAGCGCTGGCCTCTGAGTCACTCAGACCCTCAATCTTACTTCTGGAAACACTAAAGGTCTGACTACACCCTCACCCAGGGAGGAAAGCCCTACAAAGACTCAGTCCCCAGAGCCCAATGGGAAGGCAGGCAGCCCACACCCTCCTGGCAGGCACAGGGACCTGGATGTGTGTGGACCACCTGGCAGCTGCCCACCCACAGGGCCCCGTGGACAAGCAGTCACATAGGCAGAACGTGTGCCTGGAACCCAAGGGCAAGGGCACAGGGCCAGGCTGTGCTGTGTCACCCCCTCCTCCCTCCCTGGGCAGAGCAGATCCCCAAGGGGGGCCATCTGCATGGTGGTGCCTTCCAGCTGAGTCTCAGGCCTCATTTTCCCAGGAAAAGGCTTTCCTGGAGAGCTCCTGGCTGCCAGGAACCCAGACTTCAGTCCCGGGCACATGGGGGACGCAGCTCCTGATCTGCCCGCCCTGCAGCTTCCACTCTCCCTAACTCGGAGTCCAGGTCTCCCCAAAGGACCAGGTCACAGTGAGACAGGAGGGCTGTTCCACCCTGGCCTCGGGGGGCAGGGGTCCTGGCACTGAAAGGTCTGGAAGGCCACCACCCCATTGTAGAATCAGACTGGGGACCAGCCTGTCGCTGCAGGGTATGGAGCGCCCTCACCCACAGTACAAGCCGCCTCTGGCTCCACAGGCCCTCCTGGGTCCTGGCCCCAACCTGCAGGTGCAGGACCCACCCCAGCCGGGCACCAGCCATGCCCCGAAAGTCCTACTCTGGTAGGAGGGGCTCCACAGCCCCTTCTCACTCCCTGGATTTGAAACTGAAGCTCCTCTGTCCACTGGGAGCCCCTCCCACCCCCAGGGAGAAAGGAGGGGCTCTGCGGGGCCTGAGAGGACTGTGCACCGCGGTGCCTCTCCAGCAGGGGCGCCTCTCTGCCGCCTCCAACCAACCAGGACCAGGGAGCTGGGGGAGCCAGAGGGTGGGGCGGGGAAGAGGGGGACTGGCTGGTCCCGGGCCCCTGCAGGTCCGCCCTGCTCGGGAGAAGCTCAGAATGGGAGACTGAGAATCTGGTGGAAATGAGGCTGCACTTCATTTGGTCCCAGGAGTTGATCACATTGGAAAATGGGGGTTCGGCGCCGCGGGGTCAGAGGGAGCAGCGGTGACCATGGAAACACAGCACCTCCTGTTTGCATGCGGCCACGTCCAAGTCATTAAAGCCTCCATGACACACTGACTGCGACTGAAGGAGGAAGAGGACGGTCTGCACCCTCTGGGGCGGCCCTCCGGGCTGTGGCCTCCAGCCCCGGGCAGCAGACTCACCCCCACCCCAGCCAGGAGAGCCGCCAGGTCGCCCTCTTCCAGCTGCAGCCATAGCTGCCCATCCCACCTGGTCCCCCTCCCAGAGCCTGGGCTCCCCCAGCAGCACCACCACCCACTGGCCGCCTTGGCCACGCCCACAGGTAAGTACACTGAGTCCAGAGCAGTTTTTCATGCAGTTTAATGAGCTACAGGGGGTGGGGAGGAGGCAGGAGTCCTGCAGTGTCCGCCCGACTTCAGAGCACATCCCGCCTCTCCCTTTTGCCTGTCAGGGGAGAGAGGCTGATGGAGGTGCTGAGGCAGGAGGATCTCAGAGCAGGTCGGGGCTGGGGGGTTGGAGGAGCTCTAGGTGCAATGAAGAGCTGGCACTGGGAGGGAGCAGGGAGGGTCCCCCAGACACCCTGGAGGGCCTGTCTTCGTCTCATGGGCAGCATCCTTGCCCGGCCCCGGGCTCAAGGAGAAGAATGAATATGACCGAGGATCCAAGGCAAGAAATATTTCACTCGGGCATAGACTCCAGGAAAGTTGGCAAAACAGAAATCATTTCCCCAGCTCACCACGCCTACCTGGACCCAGCTGTCCCTCCATTTACAGACCAAGGGGCCCCCAGAGTCTCCCTGTGGGAAGAAGAGACAGGGGGTCAGTACTCAGGGCCCTGCAGGCAGGAGGAACGGACGGTGGCTACAGTCTGGGGGGTCTCACATAGCAGGTGCCCCGGCCTTCGCTCCCGGCACACAGCATGTCGTCCTTGATAAGACTGCCGTATTGCCACCAACAGATCTCATCTTCCACGATGGGGACCTCCACCTCCTGCAGATTTTTGGGCGGCGGCAGCGGCTCTGTGAGAAGAAGCTCAGTGAGCCTGTGGTCCTGAGGGGGCGGACAGTCACAGGCCGCGGGTTCTAGAACCACACGCTGAGCCTCAGTGCCCCCAGGGACCCAGGGAGTCACCCAAGACCCCAACTGTCTCGTTAATTCAAGGTCAATGGGCTGATAATCTCTAGGCTGACACTGTGGGCATCAAGCTCCAAAAAGAAACAGGGAAATATATTTTTTATCCACAAATAATTTTTATTGGGAAAAATCAGAGCAGGTGCTTTCCCCCAAGAAAAGCAGAGTGACCGGCCCTAATGTCAAATTTGACTTTGTCCATTTAATAGTGAATCCTGGAGCACGTCACTGAAGTTCTCTCTCCTCGTTCTCCCTCCCACTATCGAGACTCAGGGAGAAAGGGGAGGCCCAGAAGGGAAGACACAGGGCCTTGTGCAGAGTGAGGGAGAGAAATGCCTCCCTGGGGGCATTTCTCAGTGGTGGGAGCACTGTCCCTAATGGTCCCAGGTTTGATTCTTGGTCAAGGGCAAGTACCTGGGTTGCAGGTTCAATCCCCAGCCCCAGTCGGGAAGTTAATGAAAAGATATATCCCTCACATCAATGTTTCTCTCTCCCCCTCCCTTCCACTCTCTCTAAAAATCAATGGAAAAAATATCCCTGGGTGATATTTATTTTAAAAAGATGTCCTTGGCCATGCCTCACTCTTGCTACTTTGGTCTCCGCTCCTTAACAGACTCCTCTCGAGCTGTCGGCCTCCTACACCCAAGGGAGACCCCGGAAGGACCCAGCTCAGACCCCAGCTGAGCCTCCTCTGTAAAGCCCGGCCCGCCCCTGCATCGCCCGGATATCATCCTGGTTCTGGTTCTTACCTTTAAAAGCAATGTCGCCCCAGCCAGTCACCCAGCACCGTGTGCCTGGGGGGAATGCGGAGGAGGCTGGTGGGAGGCGGATCCACCTGACGAGGTTAGATGGTTGCACGGGGGCCTCCAGTTTGAGAAGTGCCACGTCCGCCCCACCTTTTGCTTCATTTTCAAGGCTGTACTTGGGGTGGCGGATGATCCTGGCCACCTTCACACTGTCATTATATGAGGGTCTCAGTCGTCCTAGTTGGACCTTAATGTGCCAGGTCTCTGGGTTTCTCCTGGGGACAGAAGGACAAAGGCTTCTGAGAGTCTGTGGCAGGGAGTGGGCCAGTCCCTCAGAGCCCAGAGACCTCCCTCTGTGGTGGGCAAGGGGAGCGCCAGGAAGCTGAATCCTGGTTGGGGGTCTGCAGCCACTCAGCCCAGCATCTGCCCCCAACACACATCACATGCCTCCCGACATTGTCCATCCCCCTCACCAGGTGTGGCAGAGTCAGACTTACCCTGGAATGCAGTGGGCAGCGGTCAGCACCCACTGGGGATGGATGAGGGACCCCCCACAATAGAGTCTCCACTTTGAATTTATTGGATTTATGACCCACAGTCCCACCTGCCACGGCCACTTCCCTTCCGCAGCATCATGCCCCCGTATGATGCCCACCAGCTCAGTCCCTGGGCCAGGATCTGGGGAAGCAGAGGAGGAGCCATCAGGGACCCAGGCACCGCTGCCCGGCACTCAGCATGGCCCCATCCTCAGTCCCTCCCAGAGCCACCCTCAGAGGGGGATCGCCACCCATCCCAGGGGCGGCCTCTGAGAGGTCAGAGTCAGGGGTTTGGAGAAAAGCCAGGCTTGGGGGTCAGGACCCACCTGAGGTCACAGGTACAGAGCCCCCCAGACAGGGGAGAGTCAGGACCAGCAGCCACAGCATCTGCAGGGGGAGAGGGCAGGGAGGAGAGCCAGTGAGGAGATGTGGGGCGGGGACACAGCCTGGGAAGGGAGAGGATGGGGCTTTCAGCAGCGTCCTCACCATGCCAGGTCTGTCCGCCTTCTGTCCTGGACCCTCTGAGCCCCTTTATCCTCCTGCCCGGACAGACCCAAGGGGAAGGCACCCTCCTTTGGGGTGGGGCCTGGGAGGATGTGGGGCTTATCTCTTTAGTGGGACCAGTGGTGACCAGCAGACCAGCTATCAGATAAGAAACATGGTTTTTCCCCTCTAAGAAGACACTCAGTATTGGTGCTGGAGCCCTAGCTGGTTTGGCTCAGTGGATAGAGCATCAGCCTGTGGACTGAAGGGTCCCAGGTTCGACTCAGGTCAAGGGCACATACCTTGGTTTCAGGTTCCTCGGCCCAGGTCAGGGTTCATGCAGGAGGCAAACAATCAATGTGTCTCTCTCACATCGATGTTTCTGTCCTTCCCTCTCCCTTCCACTCTCTCTAAAAATCAATGGATTTGGGTGAGGATTAACAAAAAATAAAAATAATAATAATATTGTTGCTGGACACATTTCAGTGGTAAGATGACAGTTTGCACATGAAAAAGAAAGAAATGAGATGCTTTGCTTTGTCCTGTACACTGCAGGGTCTCCGGTTTCATACCCAGTCAGGCCACATACCTAGGATGAGGGTTCATTCCCCAATTGGGACACGTACAAGAGGCACCGACCGATGGTTCTCACATCTCTCTCCCTTTCTCTCCCTAAAATCCATAAGCATATCCTCGGCTGAGGAACTAAATAAATGATAAATAAGTCAGATGCTCTGAAACAACACAGAGCAGGGCACGGATGGGATGGGGGCTGGCACCTGAGCCAAGAGCAGGGGCGGGGGCAGGGGGAGGAGAGGAGCAGGCCCAGTGCCCCCTCACACCTCCTTCTTTTGAGGCTCACAGCATTCCCCAAAAAGGACAGACTCGCTGGACCTGCAGACAGAGTTTGCCAGCAACACCGTGAGATGGAGGAGGCAGCTTCCCTGGAACCTTTGGACGTTGTGGGACCTGCTGACATCTTGATTGTAGACTTCCAGCCTCGAACACTGTGACAGAATAAAGTTTTATTTAAAGGTCTGGGTCTGTGGCATCTGTAACGGCCGCCTCAGGACACTCAGGCATCTGCTCAGCTGTCCTCATACATCCTATGCATGATCAAGCTTTGTCAAAATGCACAGCAAAGGGTGTGAGAGGTGCCAATTTAATGCTAGTTCTCCTCACCTCTCCTCACCTCCTGCACACGACTGTACCCCCACAGCGCTGGGAGCCAACCCCCCTCTCACACTCCCTGCTTTCTGAATGGAGGAGCTCTGTCCCCAAGTCTAACCCCAAACAGAGGCCAGCCATGTGCCAGGGACAGGCTTTCCCGCCCTTTGACATTCTGAGAATCATTCTCCACCAAGCATGGGACAGGACCAGACAGTGGTTTGAGAGGAGAAGGAAGAGGGGTTCCCACACTCCTGAACCACTGCCTGGTCCTCTGTGCCCGGTGAGCCCAGAGAGGAGACCACCAAGGGATGCTTTGCAGCACCTAGATGAGCTCAGGACTCTAGAAACCCATCATTCCCTCCTGGGCCAGAGTCCCTGTCATCCTTGCTGAGATGTTGGTGTCTCCGGGGGCACCCAGAATCCTCAGGGGACACTGGGGATCTCGACAGGAAACAACCAGGATCCAACATGGCGGGGGGCCCTGTGGTGGGGGGAGTCAGCACCCTGGAGGGAAGGGGCTGGGCTCCCAGATCCAGCAAGTCCCACAGGCCCAGGGGGAGACCTCTGGGTGATAAGGGGGCTTCCTCCCTCCCTGCCTCTGGTCTGGACAGAGCCCCCACCGTTACCCACCTCAACACTGGATGTGGGTTTGGGGCTGGTTCTGTGCCCAGATGACAGGAAGGCAAGTCACAGAGGTGTCAGCGAGAGGCCACAGGCTCCAACGCCCAGCCTGATGCTGGACCCAGGCTTCCCGTCCGCCAGCACCAGGCTGGGCGACAACCAGCTGGGCCAGACCTGGGAAAAGTCGGCATTTGGGCATTAGGAGCAGATCTGCCTGAAACAGAAACAAGAGTTTTGAGGGTCTGGGGGGGAAATGTCATGATTATCATTGGCAGATAATATGATCTTCCTCCAAGAAGAGCCAAAAGCCTCAATGAAAAGGTTCTAAGATTAAGTTTCTTAAGGTGTCTAGATGGAAGACAAATATTTTGCATGCAAATCAGGAGAGAAAGAAGGAGAAACTCATCTTTAACCCCAGGCATAGCTAATGCGATGCCATATGGTAGAGACTCCATTCACCACCAGGTCCATACATTCCTAATCTAGAGTCCGTGACAACCACAAAACTTCCTTGAGGAGGACACTCACACGAAATAAAATTTCATTCAATGTTGTTAACAGGAGACAGTGTCATCCAATATCAACTCTTCCAAAATCCCAATAGAATGTGAATTGCATGCAAGTCTGGAACATTCAAAGTGACCCCCAAGTTTTTAAGAAGGAAAATACATGTGGGGGTGTCCCCGGAAGCCACAGGGCAGAGTGAGGCAAACTAGGCAGCTGGTACCGTAAAGCTGTGGGAATGGGAACCGAGTGGCCGTTCAGTGACACAGGGCAAGGGAATGGCCCAGCTAACCTGCCCATCCTCCTAGGCCCAGCCTCAGTGACAGCACAGCAGCAGACAAATGCACGGTATCAACTCACAGCAAAGAAGGAGGAGACGGCATCGGTGAGGGGCCGCTGGGAATCAGATGGAGGGGATGAAAGAGGGGCTTGGGGAGAAGTGCAACCCCCTGTTCTGGTGCTTGGGTGAAGCCACCTCACTGTGCAGGACACATGCAGATGGGGCCACCTTGAATGTGAGGGACCCGTGCAACTCAGAACTTGGCAGGGGCTGAAGCGGGTCACCCAGCTCAGAGGAAGGTGGTGAGAGCCAGGAGGCTGGACACACGGTCAGGACCCAGGCCGTCCTCTCCCTCCTGCAGTCGGGGTCACCCCAGGAGGAGGGTGAAGGATCCATTTCTAGAGAACCTTTGGTCCCAGCAAAACAGAGGACTGGCATCTGGGAGGCCCAGGTCTCCACCCAGTCATCTTAGAACAGAATCAACTAGTCCACCAGCCAACCAGGCTGACAGATGCGAATCAGCTATTGAACTGTTAATAAATGGTTGTTTCTGTTCCTTAGAAAAGTATTCTTGCACTCGATTGGTGTGGCTCAGCAGGTTAGTGTCAGCCCAGGAACCAAGAGGTCCCTGGTTTGATTCCCAATCAGGGCACATGCCCAGGTTGCTGGCCCAACCCCCAGTAGGGGGTGTGCAGGAGGCAGCTGATCAATGATGTTCCTCTCTCATTGATGTTTCTATCTATCAATCTCTCTTCTGCTCTCTAAGTATACTTGTTTATGGTGGTAATTTTTGGCATAAACCAGCCCAAAATTTAGTGATTTGCTTTTACATATGAAGAAAACTGTTGGGGCAGACCAGGAAAGCATTGAATTGGAAAGTTAGAAACCAAAGTAAAAACAAATGAAAAAAAAGTTATTCAAACCAATTCAACTAGCAATGATGAGAAATAGAAGAAGTTTGAGCAAGTTTTCAGGGAGGTAGGAGAAGATACTGCATTTATGAAACAAGGGTTACATACTGTTATCTTCTCATATCTGCTAATAACCAAGCAGATAATAACCAAGTGCCCTTGGACATTCAAAATATAACAAATTAGTCTGGGCCAGTGGTTCAATGGTTAGAACAGTGGCCCACACGCCAAAGGGTGACTGGTTAAATCCCGGTGTGGATTCCATGTGTGGGAGGCAACCAATCAATGTGTCTTGTTCCCACTGGTCTCTCTCTCTCTCTCTCTCTCTCTCTCTCTCTCTCCCCCCACTTTCCTTCCCTCTCCTTCCCTTCCACAATCTCCAGAAATCAATGGAAAATATATGCTTGGGTGAAGATTAACAAAAAAAATTGTAATAGAACAACTCCCCCCCCAAATGGGCCTTCTTGTTCTTTTAACACCCTGAAAAGAAAAAAAAGAAGTGTGCTCAGCTGGTCCACCACTGGATGGTCCATAGGCCATGCCGCTCCGCCTGCTTCCCCTGCCACCAGAGGCGCATGGACAGCTGCGCAGACAAGTAAGAGCCAGGTCTCAGCGGGAGCAGCTCTCACAGGTGCACCTCAGACCCGCTGCCCAGAGCCTGAGCCTGGGAGGAGCTGCATTTGGAATAGCTCCCCCAGGAGAAGAGGCAACAGTGAGCCATCGGACACTGCTAGTCATTCTGCGCAGCCCCCAGAGTTCCTGGGCCACTCCCTGAACAGATGCTGAGATGGGAGGGGAGCACCGGCTGGTCTCCACAGGAGCCACAGCAAGTCTCTCAACAGCTAGAAACTAGAGCCAGGCTCTCAAGTGCCCAAGGAAATGACTTAGTGCCCAGGAGGGTGACCGCCCAGGGCTTCTGTCCCTGGCACAGCTGGGGAGCAGCCCCTTCGGGCTCCAGCAGATGCTCTTCCTGGGGAAGCCAGAGAGAAGGGCTGGAGGGCAGAGGCCAGCCCTGCCTCTGCAGGGGTCCCTATCATGTTCTCCAGGTCCCCTCCCCTCAGCCCCACCTCTGCGGGCCTGGCCCTGACTCGCACCCCTCGGGGACCTAGTTCCTGGTCCCAAGCCCTTGGG